TTCACATAAACTTATAGGACCTTGTCTGCCAACCCTATATATGTTCTTGGATACACTCAAAAAGGATCCTTTTTTGTATAAAATGGTGATAAAATAGCTGATTTGTGTTTTTAATGTTTTCATGTGGCAAAATAAAACCTCATTGATCCCCTGTGCGTCCCAAAATCCGAATCCGGGAGCCCCGGGTCCGGAGTCTCCAGCCCAGGCCAGAGACACGGGCTTTGCGCGCCTGCGACACCGCGCCGCCGGTAGGGGTCAGGAGAGCTCCACGCAAGGCCGGAGGAGCAGCTCCCGAGACTAGCCCGGCGTCTGGGTGGAGCGTTCCGCGACGCCCGGTGCCTCAGGAAAGGTGTTAGAGGGCTTTCCCTAGGCTGGGGTCACGACGGATGGCCACTCGTGTCCTGGGTTTTAGCTCTGCCAGGTGGGGCGTGGTCTGAACGCCGCTTCTCTGCCCTCATGCTACATTGACTACCGGCCCTGACTGCAGCCAGCGTGGGGCTTGGCTGGTTCACCCGCTACGGGTTCTCGTAGTCCTGGAGAACTCACCTTAGTGGTCTTGCAAAGGCGATCCTGCGCCAGCATTGCCTATTACACTGGGGTTGTCCTAAGGATCAAGGAGCTAATTACATCAAACGTGATTTGAGAGCGTACACTGGATTTATGGGTTTAGAAAACGGACTCAAGCCTCTAGGGAGGTCCTTGCTAGGCCCCGGATAGGTTTTAAAAGGTTGCTGTGCCTCAGAATTACCTCTAGAGGTGATTTCATTAGGTGTAGGGTGGTATCCAGGAATCTGCCTTTTTTTTTTTTTAACAGGTTGACACATTCTGAAAAGATTTGTGCTCAATCCACATTTGGATGAACATCCCCCTAGCTTCTGAAGTCATCCCACAGGGCAAGCAGTCGGGAAAACAAAGAAAAAAAAATGAGAGTCAACAGTGGTGCTGGGCTGATATTAGAGGCTGGGCGCTGGTCCAGTAGAGATCTAGTTGCCCCATGACTGTAAACAGTCTAAAACTCCAAGAACCAAAGCAGAGGTAGGTACTCCCTAGGCTTCCTTTCATGGTTCAGGCTATGGTTTTTTTTTTGTGTGTGTGTGTGTGTGTATGGTTTTATTATATTTGTCTTTTAACATTTCTACTTCATATAATGGGAGCTCTGGTAGCATAGTGGCTAAGGCACTTGACTGCTAACCAGAAGGCTGGTGGTTCAAACCCACCAGCCACTCCTCGGAAGAAAGATGGGGCAATCTACTTCCGTAGTGATACTGCCTTGGAAACCCAAGGAGGGGTTGCTATCAGTCAGGCCCGATTCGACGGCGCATAACAACTTCACATAATAGCAGAATGATCACAGGCTCCCAAACATCCACTGGGCAATGTTGCGATGTTCTGCACATTTCCAGGCCAGTCGTTTCGGCTACAAATTTTGGCAAGACCACCATTTTAACCTCATTCATCTCTAGCACAGCAGGGGTAGGATGGGGAAGTGAAAGGACAGCTTCAAGAGCCCAGGAGGCTTTACCTCTGGAGGGAGTGCACTGGGGTTTATGAGTCTTCACCCCATCTGTCTCTAGCCCAGTCTGGGAACAGCACTTGGCTACAGGCTAGGACCAGAAGCCAGAAGAGAAAACCAGCTTCCTCTTAGGATCTTGGAGTAGTACAGTACAGGCCCATCATCCCGTCTTCCACCCTCACACTGTGCTCCACCCAAGCTACTGGGCAGTGGGACTCCAGGCTAGTCCTCTCAGAACACTCCCTATTTCTGCTGCAACCAGATCTGGATTCTACTTCTAGTTCTTATCTTGGGAAAATCCTATTTCTTTATCTTTTTTTAAAAACTCAAGGATGTTTTCCAGAAACTTATGAGCTTCTACCCTTTGGGCTCCCTGTTTCCTTTAAAATCACTGGGAACACTGGGAAAGGGAGACTCAGAACTCCTCCCTCTTGAGTTCTGATTTTATCACTCCATCCCTGTGGTGCACTGAATTACTTGGTATTGCTTTTCTAGCCAGTCTTTTTTTTTTTTTTAATTGTGATTTGGGTAAAAATTTACAGAGCAAATTCACTTTCCATACAGCAGCTCACATACACTGTTTCATGACACTGATGGCAGTTTCCCACAATGCAACAGGGAAGTTACCTCTTCCCTGTGTTCTTCCCTCCCATGCACTGCCTGTGCATATGTAGCCCTTGTATTCTCCCATGACTGATCTCTCCAAGAAGTGTATCTACCTAATGTAAATGTTCAGCTCATATACCTGTCTTTTGTTCGGCTGGAAGCCACAGGAGTGGGTTCAATTCCAGACCTGAAGGGCAGCTAGGGGCCAGAGTCTCAGGGCTCTCACCAGGCTTTATCAGACTAGCAAACCTGGCCCCCCCCTTTTTTCCCCAATGATTTTGAGTTTTGTTCCACATTGTTCTCCCACTCTATCCAGGATCTCCTACATAGATCCCCCTCTGAGTGGTTGACAGTGGTAGCTGGGCACCATCTAGTTCTTCTGGTCTCACAGTTGTATAGGTCTAGCCATAGTCTTTGTAACTCCCACTGGATTACTGGGTGGGACCATGCAAATAAGGTATGTAGAACTCTGATTTTGGGATTAGTTAGTTTTGTTACTAATCCAGCCTTAAAATGAGCCTTCCTAGAGATGGAGAGGGGATCTCACTGCCATCAAGAGAGAAGAGCTGGAGATGAAGGAGAGTGCATCCTTCGACCCACAATCCCAGCACTGGACCTCCTTGGCAGAGACGCCTGGCACAGAGAGATGCACCTGGCAGAGAGAAGGTCGCAGTGTAACCAAGAGGAACGGTGGGCTTACCTAGGCCATGTAGCAAGAAAGCTGAGTGACTTTGGAGAGGAGGCTTGCTGATGGAGTGGGGTGCAACTAGGTGTACCTATTGGCAGAGCTAAAAGAGCTTTGTAACATTTGCCCAAGCAGGGCAGAGGCCTGGCTGAGAGGCCAAGGGCCAGTAAGGAGTGTCCGAGGGCACAGCAGAAGGGAGACTGATTGAAGAACTGTATCCTGAGAGCATTTCTGAACCTGAATTGTAGCCTGTTACTTCCCTAATAAACCCCATTTAAAAAACACACACAAAAAAAACAAAATCACTGCCATCAAGTTGATTCCAACTCACAGCAATTGTTTCCAAGGTGGTAAATCTTTACAGAAGTCTTCCTTCCATGGAGTGGCTGGTGGGTTTGAACCACCAACCTTCTGGTTAGGCACTATGTCACCACAGCTTCTTAATAAACCCCATAGTTGTGAATATTGTCTGTGCGTTCTGTGTGGCCATTGCAATGAGTTATTGAGCACAGCAGAGAACCAGTGAGTGCTGTGGAAGGGATGGTTGGTGTCAGAATTGGTAAAAGGCTGGAGGGTGGCAGCATGTCTGGCCTCACAGGAATAAGCCTTGGGTTGCTGATGGTAATTCTGTCTTTCTCTTGTGAGGTTAGAGGAGGTCAGAAGAGGCCGACCCTGTGCCATTTTTGCACTCCTCCATGACCAATGAGCAGGCTGGAGGGCAGGAACAGGACCATGGCCAGCCACTCTCCCTGGACCCAGGGCTGAAGTCAGACAGGAGGTGGCAGCAAGTAGATTGTTCTCAAAAACATCAGTTTAGAAGCAGATGGGTTTGCTTCACAATGTTTCGCACAAAAGGCAGTAGCTGCTGTGTGGTTTTAACAAAATTAGCCATAGCCTGTCCAGAGAAATGTATGCAGCCAGCCAACACAGCAGGGGCTGTGCCTGCCACCCAAAGTCAGCTGTCACATGAACAGGACTCTACTGTGCCCATGGCAGAGGTGTGGGAGGGCTCAGAAGGGCTGCTGTGGTGGCCAGCATCCAACAGATCCTCTGCATGCATTCTGATCTCTGCCCTGCAGGGGGCACTCAGTGACACAGGTGTTCTGAGATGCCTACTCTCAGAGTTCCACCCCAGCAGTGTGGGCGTTCTGGTAGCGTAGTGCCTAAGGCACTTGACTGCTAACCAGAAGGCTGGTGGTTCAAACCCACCAGCCACTCCTCGGAAGGAAGATGGGGCAATCTACTTCCATAGTGATACTGCCTTGGAAACCCAAGGAGGGGTTGCTATGATTCGGGTCCGACTCGATGGCACATAACAACAACAACAACAACAGTGTGGGAGTTTGGCCCTAAAGAAAGAGAAGCCCCAGAGGGATGGGGGTTTTCTGCAGAATGGTTCCCCCTTAAAAACTGCAGGGAGCAGATACCTCTAGAATTAGGCAGAAACAAGAGCAGGCTCTCCACCCCCAGAAAGAAAAATGACTACAAAGTTCAAGTAAATGGAATGGGGAAATACAATTTTTCTTTCCCAAGAATATAGAATGACAAGGAAACCATTAACCTAAGATTTGATTCAAAGTCTGGTGCAAATTTGGGGAAGATTCCAAATATCCATAATCAAACCACAAGTAAGTTAGCAGAGTAAGAAAAACACAAAGCAGCAAGTGGTTAGATACTTACTCCCATCTATAATGGCAGTTCCTCTCTGATCCTTTAAAGGGGTGTGAGTCGGGATCGACTCAACTGCAGTGAGGGTTTTTTTTTTTTTTTTGGTATGTGCTAGGTATGAGGCATCTGGTGAACTTGAGCCTTCTTCTTGGCTTCCTGCTAAAGGCTCATCCAAAAGAAAGAGGTGGCCACTGGCCTGACCACATATGCCCAGGCTGGAGTATCAGGCTTAGAAGGTGGAGAACAAGGGCACAGAGTCATCAAAGCCTATCCCAGTAGTCCCCAGAAAAGCCATACTTCCTGCTAGGTCTGTTTGGAGCTGGCTGGTAGGCTGGCCCCAGCTGTGAGGTCCACAGTGCTGGCAGCCATTGGAGGGAACTCAACCTCGTGAAGAGGCCAGAGGGCTGAAGCAAGAAGGGGAATTGAGCAGTAGAGTCTGCTTTGGGAAGGTTGGGAGAGTTGCCAAGCCTCTACTTCTTCCAAAGAAAGGTCTCTAGGTCCTGGGAAAAGAGGTGAAGGGTCTTGGAGCTAACGGAAGTCTGTGTTAAAGGCTCTGCCGACAACTATCCGCCTCACCTCACTGGTCCCAGCCCCAATCTCATACAGCTTGGCATCTCGCAGAAAACGGCCCATGGGAAAGTCGTTGATGTAGCCATTGCCACCTGTAACCAACATGTGGGCAGAGAAGAAAAGACAAGAGAAGTGATGAGCAGTGGGCCAAAGCAAAGACAGCAAACAGTATATGGAAACAGGCCAAGCGGGAGAGAACAACCGAAAAACAGTAGTTGGGGGTGGGGTGGGGGAATGGTAGGCAAGGGGCTGGAGAGTCACCCAGAGTGCTGAGGTTACCTGGCAAAGAGAAGGAAGAACCACTGGCAGGCATGGAAAAGAGGGACAGGAAGACAGTAGCATAGCATGTACTATGTGCCAGGTACAGAGAAGTTAAGTAATTTACATAAGTCACCAAGCCAGTATAGTGGTAGAGCTGGAATTCAAACCCAGACTATCTGGCTCAAGCCTGTGCTCTGAACCACAGGGCTGTTCTACCTCTGAGGCATCTCTCTTTCCCCATTTCCTAACATCCACAGGACCAGAGGGAGAGGAAAAGAGGGGGTGTTGCTGAAGGTAGTAGCAACTATGGCCTCTAAAAGTTTTCTCATTTGCTTTTCCATGTCTTCTAGTAACTGGGGCAGAAAGAACCTAAAAGTCCCCTCTCAGCCACAGCTGGCTTGAGCACAGAGTTAGAAAGAGAGGAGGAGCCATGGGCTCCAGGAGTGAATGCAGCCCTGCAGTGGGGGCTGGGGATCACTCACCAAAACACTGGATGCCCTCCAGGGCGACCTTCGTGGCACACTCTGCTGAGTAAAGAATCACACCTGCGCAGTCCTGCAGGAGATTAGGGGTTAGCAGGCCTTGCCAGGGCCATGCAGACAGCAAGTCCTAGCAGCCAACCCACTGCCCTGGCCTCTTCCTCCTTAAGATTGGTCCTTACCTTGGGGGTGCAGTGGCCTTCGTCACAGGCCCTGGCAACATTGTAGAGGTATTGCCGGGATGCCATGAGGCAGACGTACATGTCAGCCATCTTCCCCTGCATCAACTAGGCACAAAGGGGGATCAAATCAACATGCTGGAGCCATTTTCTGCTCAGAACACTCTGCTGAGTTACCAAAAGCCAGTCAGCAATAGCAACCTGACAGCTATGGGGAAGCTGGGCATAGAGAGGAGATGGGACTTGCCTAAGATGACAGAGATAGGAGCAGGTCAAGGAGGTAAGGCCAGAAAGCTGCCCTTTCAATGTGGACTCTGCACTTTGAAATGGCCCATGTGACCACTGAATGGCAGTGCCCTCCAGGACCATCTACCATAGTTCTCATTAATTTCCTGCAGCTTCTTGAGACCTGAAAGTCTGGCAAGAAATGCCACTCCCTTTTCCCTATGCCTCCTCATGACCTGATGTCCCTGAATGGTGCGAGCATTCAAGCATTCAGCTGGTAACCAAAAGGTTGATGGTTCAACTCCACCTAGAGGCATGTCAGAAGAAAGACCTGGAGATCTACTTCTGAAAAATCAGCCACTGGAAACCCTATGAAGCATGGGGAAAGGGGAAGCTTTTGTTTGTGGGGCATTGAGTTTAAATTAATGATGGTGGAATATTTTGGATAAGGATAGCAATAATGGTGGCACAACATGAAAAATGTTATCAGTGTCCCTGAGCTGTAAATGTGGAAGTTTAACAATTTGGTAAGTGTCTTTGTGTGAACTATGATGGTCTGTTGTCTCCGAGGCATCATGGCGTTGTTGTATTTAGATCTCTGTTAACTGTTTGTGAAGAGCAGCCAAGGGTGATTCAGGCTCTTCTTGGTGGTTTTTTATCATTGGCCCATTGGTGGAGA